CCCTGCGTGCAAACTGCATCGCACTGCACCCCGCTGGCGCCGCCTTGGCTGCACAGCACAGCCCGCGGCGCACTCTGGCATAAAGCACCCGTATCCTGGCAATTAGGCCTGGCAAAAGCTACGCGCCCCTCCTCTATCGCCCGCTGCGTGAGCTGGCGGCGGTACCGGCACGGGGCTGGCGCGGGCGCCGGACCGGCGCATCCCAGGAACCAGCGCGAGTGGCTGAGGAAAGTACAGCTTGGGAGATATAAAAAGGGGGGAGGGGGCGAGCTGACAAATTGTGTAAACAAATTTCTCGATATGGTAGAGAATAAACGTTTGAGTCCCATAAGGGGTCATTCGATGATGTATCCATAACGGTTTCAAACACACGCGAAAAGCGAGAGGTCACGGCACTCGGGCAGGCGACGCCCCCACACGCGACAGTCCGATACACTTCCAGTTCACTGCACATGTCACTGTAATCCTGGCGGCGGGGCGGAGTGGAGCGGAGCCAGGGCAGGGCGCGGCACTTCACCTGGTAGCGGGGGCGGCCGACGATGGACGGGAAGACGGCGCGGGGCGCGTCGTCCCCGGCGAACCCGGCCTTGCACATGCCGGACCCATTGTCCACTACGAGCGCAGCAACATCGTCGTCGCACATGGTTGTTGTGTGATGTGTTTGGCGAGCTGTTCACGGGCCGCACGGACACGGTGTACTGGGAGGCGGCAAGGCGCCGCCGGCTTCTTATAGCGTAGCGTCCGCCCGCTCGCCCGCCTCCCCGCGCCGCCCCGCTCCGTGACGTCACAAGGCTGGGCGGCTGCAGCGCGCTCCATACAAGACGAACCCGGCCGGCGCTTGGAGAGGCGAGGGGGGCGAAGGATAGGGGGGGGAGGGAGGGAGGCACGGGGCGCTGTTCTAAAACCGTCAAGGAAACCACCATTCTAGGGCTAGGACTGTTGTTCACCCATGTCGCGGTCTCGTACAAACTTTACCATTGCTGTGCGAGTGTGTGGGGAAGAGGGAGGGGGGAGGGGTCATCGCGCTCCCTTCAATGGGCTGGCATGCCCCATTCGGAAACATTACTGTACAACCTCAGCCGACGTCGGTGACAGTGACGACGAGGAGGGCGAGCCGCCGACAACCGCGCTTTAGGCTCATGGCGCTCGGTGTCGAAGGGGCGACGTTGGACGTTGTTGCCGACGGGTTGCCGGGCAGGTTGTCTCGGGTTGCCTTCGGATTTCTTTGCGTACACAATAGGGAAGCCCGCTAGTTGATAGGTCTTGTCTAGCCGTATGTGCCCCGCGGTGTCCCGCAAAACCACCCTTGGTTCGTATGTGGAGCGTTGGGAGATCTGAACGCACGCGCGCGCCTCCCGTAGTGAGTGGAGTAGGGGGGAGGTGAACACTCGTGGAAACCGAATGCACTGCACCTTGCAGAGTGTGTAGCCATACATCAAAACCAAGGGGTCAATGGGAGTAGAATCGAGGAGCAACCCGTCGTCCGCCCTGGTGGCCGTCGATGTTCGTCGGCGGGGCGGAATATCGCGAAGGGACCGGGAAACGCTGTGAGAAACTTGCTGCAACTGCTGTGTTCTGCCAGATGACCCCACGCCGATGAGTAGTCCAAAGCAGCCGCTCCGCATCCATGTAGCCCAATCAACCTGCCGGTTGGGGGAGGGGGAGGGCTACAAGGATTTATTTTCTTTTTTGGTCTCAAGTTTCGTAGGATGAAAAGGGAGGGGGGAGGGGTCCTGTCGCTCTTTGTCCTTCGTCCAGGCGAATCCACTGAAAATTGCCTGCGCGTCCGGCGACTTATTAGAGGCGTTGGGAGGTCATGACCTGCGTGACTACCCCGTCTGGCTATACGCGCCTGCAGCGAGTGGAGCACCGTGAGCTCAAATAAACTGCATCAAGAAGACGGAGAAAGAGGGAGAAGCCGAGGTGAGGTGGGAGGGGAATCAGCCAGCTCATCGAACCAGCAGAAGAAAAGAGCAAATTGGCTCGGTGGAGCTGCGGTGCGTGGCGCGTGGCGATGGACGCGCGTATGGCATGTCGGGTGCGCGACCACCCAGCCGGGGGGTGCAGGGCCGGGATGCCAAGCGCCCCCCGACGGCAGCGCCCCGCAGCAGCGCCCCACGCCCAGAATTGGGCCACTGCACTTCATTCGCGTTATCGTCCGGGCAGGCTCGGGCCGCCTGCCTCGCTCCGCCACCCTGAAGTGTGAGAGGGGAGGGGGAGGGGCAGACGTGTTCCGCCTTACGTGCGGCGTGGTATCCACGATGAAGCTCTAAAATCAACCCGCCGAGTCCGGCTCGGGCCGGTCCCGGCCGGGCTATAGGAGGATAGGGGGCGCAGCAGACACGGTCGTAAACAAGGGTCAGTTTTATATTCGTAGAAATAACGCTTATCTCGGCCGTAGATCGCGAGATGCGGCCGGGCGGCCTGATTAGAAAGAGATCTCATTATCTCCCATAGAGACGCGAGCTAGACGCCGCCGGCCCAAGCCCCAAGCCCAAGCCGCCTGGAACCGATAGGGGTTGGGCGCCGCCGCCACGCCACGGGCATCCTTGCTGCTGCACCTGCACGCCGCGGGCGGGCGGGCGCCGCGCCGCAGTGGTCCAGTGTTTGTAGGCTTTTGTGAGACCAGTGGCATGCACGTGCACCACTCAGCCCCGCCGCGCCCTCCTGTGGCAGACAGGACCTGGCGACTAGTGTAAGCCGGCGGCGGGACGGCGGGCCGTGCGTCGAGCAGCAGGGACCGTCCATGGCGAGCGCGGCGCGGCGCCATGGGCTGAAACAATTAGCTGCGGCAACAACACACGCGAGGCTCTGCGTGTGTGTGTGTGTGTGTGTGTGTGTGTGTGTGTGTGTGTGTGTGTGTGTGCGAGGGAGCGCGCGTGCGTTGGGGCGTGCGCCAAGCAGTGCGTGTGCGGGGGAAGAGGAGCGGCCCGTGCAGCCAGCACACGTTGCGCGGCCCCCTGGAGCCTCTCCTCTTGGCGGTAACGCGATATACTGTACATGTCGTCCATCCTCTGGGCTCCACACTGGGCTGGCCGGGTCGCCCAGACGTGGAGGGCTTAGTGACCTCCAGTTCCAGTCCCATGGACTCGTATGGAGTCCCCGAAATGTTAGTGATTTGTCAACACGAAAAGTTTTGGGACTGCACTCAAGATCGGGGGTAGGTATGTTTTTCTCGATTTCTGACTTGCAGATCGCTGGTTGCTGATTGCGCGTTGTGCGGTGCGACTTGCCGTGAGGTTTCGCAAGGTTCTCGACATGTACTTCGTAATTACCGATAATGCATGCGATTTTCTCATCCTCCAGCCAGGTTCGGAGGCTCCCATAGCGCCTGATGGGTAGGCAACATCTTGCTTGCCGTGCATGCGTGTATTGCGGAGTGGCCTACCCCGAGTCTCGCAGGCGCCCAGCTCATATAATTTGCTGAACAAATCTGATGAAAATGGGCGTACTTTCTGGACAAGTCCGATAGCAGATAGCACATTCTACAGCCCGATCCGGTCATGGCCGGGCGCCGGAGCTCCTACCCGATCGGAACTCATCCTTCTGTATATCCGTAAAACCATATTGGTTTGAAACTTCGGACGAACCCGTACCTTGTTCTCGTGCGTTGCGGACGTGCTCAGCGGACGGCCCTCTCCGCCCACGCCGGGGCCGTGCGTTGTGGCGGGACGGGACGCCACTGCTCTCCGCACGCGTCGCAACTTTCTCGCCTAACTCTCGGCAAAAGGTGCGAGAAGCGCAGGGCGCGAGGGAAGAGCCGTCGTATATGTTGCGGCGCGAGCACCGCGGGCTACGTGCAGCGTTTATGGCGCCAATAAAACGTTAGGCTGCACAGCTCACGTCGCTGGGGGCTGGTGGCCCTTCAGCCGAGCTGTCCAGCAGCTGTGGGTCAGGCCAGTCTAGCCTCGGGCCAGCCCAGGATAGACTCGGGTCGGGCCACCCGCCACGCCCCTAGGAGGCTGCGGCCCTACATACAGCAGTGCGGAGAGTGATAGCTCCCAGTAAGCTCACCAGCTAAACGTTCTCAGAACATTTCCACCACCCAATTTTAAAGGGTTCATATTGCACACCAGAAGGCGCAAATCCGTGAGCTCACCGTGAGCTCACCGTGAGCTCTCCATAAACGCACTCGAGCCGACCCGTTCAACTAAAGCTCGTCGAAGAGGTACACGTCCGTTTTCCTCAGATTCGTTCGGCAAATTACGGGAACTCGGGCGCCTGCGAGAATCGGGGTAGGCCATCCCGCAATACGCGCCCGCACTGCAGGCGATATGTTGCCTACCTACCAGGCGCTATGAGAGCTTGCAGGGCAGAGGCTCGACTAGGGCAGGTTCGTAACGGCGACTGACGGACGTTCTCTCTAGACTATCCCTTATGCTGGGGTCAAGCTA